TTTCGGATGGAACAGCAACCTATCTGGGGTTAACCAGCCGAAAGCCAGGCTGGGAGAGAACCTGAACCAGGCACTGTTGAAGCTTGTGGATTGGGTCCGGCTGATTGCTCCGAGATGAGTACGATGCGTCTAAATAACTATACGGGTTGCCGGGCAATGCTCCCTAACTTGGGCAGATGGAGTGTCTCCTCCGGGAGTGTACGGACTACATACACGGACGAAGTCATGAAGTACGGGGTGCATATCGAGCTGTCGCGTGCAGTGTTTGAGCCCAGTCTGAAGAGTACGGAGCATCAACCGCACATCGTGTGGCAGCCGATGGTCTGCATCCACAATTTGTCCCGACACTTTCGGACAAGGTCTTGGTTCTGGAGCCTCAAAAGATTCACATTGTTGTTCTCTTCAAAATGCGCCGACAATCAATCGCCCACGCCCCAGCCTGTGGGTAGGTACGACGAAGGAAGCGATACGGAGTATATAAATATCAATCAATCATGAGCCAGCAATGACGGACAGCAGGATGTGGGGAAAAAGAAACAAAGGCTGATAAAAGCAAGCAAAGTTGGTATTTTTGCCCTGTGTTTGTGTTGATAAAATATTGCGTGGACGCAAGTGGCAAGCCATGTCGATCTGCGCCGCCCGTTGAAACAGAGGATGGCAGTTCGAAACGAGAACTATAAGGCACGTACTTGTGGAGAGACGAGGAGACGGGATCGAAGATAGATCTTTGATAGTTCCTCGTTACCTTTCTACTGTGCAGGTTGATGTTCGATGTGTATCGACTCCGACTATGTACCCTGTACATCCATTGAACACCACCCAACTTTCCGAGCGGCGAACGATACCCAGCCTACCGCCGTTACTCCTGCCATCGTCATCTAGCTGTTTGATGGCATACGCCATAGAGGCTGCCAAACAGCTTCCGCAACTATCATATCTCCTAGCCGAGGTCGCCCGTTTCTCAATATCGACGGACCGAGACAGAAACATCTTTAGCTCCCGTCTCTTCGCCGTTTCAGTCCTTCGAGCTCTTGTTCCGCACATTGGCCTAATCAGGATCATTGTGGCTCTGCATGTCCTATCTTCATTAGACCCGGGATAAGGGTGCGAACTTGGTATGAGCGCGGAGATCCCACGCTATTGTGTTTGCGCAGTCCCATAACATCGATTATTCTCCTCCTTCGGTCTAGATAACGATGCTTTTGCGATTCTGATCAATCTCTAGCGTCAAGCTGAGTAAGGGACATAATTAGGTGTATTTGTCACGTCTATCAATTGCGTGGCTTTAACTTTTCTCAAATCCCATAGAGCGAGGAGGTCGTTCGTATCCCTGGAAGCGATGGCTCTGGACTTGTGCATCGCCATCTCCTGGTCCCGTCTTCTGATCCGGAGGCGACGGTTACTGTTACTGCTGTAGAAATGCAGCCTGGCGCAGAATGGCAACTACACAGTACTTGCTAGTCAATTTAGTGTCGAGCCAGGGCCGGGTGGGTGCCTGGGACGAGCGAGCGGGTGGTTCGTGCCTTCGAGCTGCAAGTCAACCTCAACCATGGGTAGTGTTTATGCTTGATACTCATGATGCCTGATGCTTGTCTCTCTGTATCTGCCCTCGACTTACCAGTTGACCCCTTGATGCCTGTACGTCTTGCGTAAGCAGCGTCCTTCGCTGGCCACCAAGCAGACGCGAAGAGATTGCAGGGGCTGGCTGCAAGTCCATGTACCTTGGTGGTAGTGGTAACTTTGAATTCGCCGGTCAGCTTTCTTTCCTTTTTCCAGTTTGCCTTTGCTTTTTGTCTCCCTCCCTTACTGTTTCTGGTATCGGCTTGGCTGATGCTGCTGTCCAGAAGAGTTACATATCATTGCTCTGAGATGATGATATATTTTAATAGATGACTTGCATTTGAACGGGAGCAAGGATATGGGTTATACGGACAGCACCATATAGCGTCGGCCAACTCTTCCGCTCCAACTGACTGCGAGCTTTTGACGGTATCTCGCCCAGCCTTTCGTATCATCTCATCTCGCGGGTCATATTGCCATCGCCATCAGCTCTGGTCCGAAGCAAAGTCTCAAGAATCGAAATGAAATGCCGTGCTTAGCTGATGATTATCAAGCAGCAAGCTCTATAGTCTCGATATCAGTCAAGACAAAAGCTAGAGCTCCATCTGCTAGCCAACCTAGTATTTCTTGTTGTGAATATCTCGTTGTTGTTGTTTGCTGTTAGAAAAAAAAAAAATAAATAACAATAATGCAACGGAAGTCGCCCTCGTTGCGTGTTCAACCACATGGAGAGGAATGGAGACAAACAAGTGATCCACTCACTAGTACTCCAAATGGAGTAACAATATGTTGATGATAAGTATTATATATAATTTTATGCCGCAGGAGAAAAGGGACCTGACATTGACTGTGTCAAGTTGGCTGTCGGGATCGTCTGGTACGGAGTAGATTGTGGGCGTTTGGGATGGCCACCGTCGTGGCGCTCTGGCGTGTCGATGCATGCACCTTCGTATACGCTGTACCCATATATTTGATGGTCCAATTACTCTCTTGGTAGATTGTAGACGCCGATGGAGAAGAGTAAGAAGTAAGTATTTAGGCAGGGCGGAGAAGATGGAGTTACAGATGGAGCTCTTCCCCTTTCTATCGACCCACTGAAGACGGGAGCTAGTACTCTGTATCAGGTTACTTTTATATGGGAGATTTCTGTTATTGCACGTTGAGATCTTGTAAGTATGCATCTACATACCGGCCAACAGTGACAGAAGTACCTAGATACGGAAGAACTGAGAACTCCTTGCCAGTGATAATAATTTCCATTTCGACGGCATATTTCTTTGCTTTTCCCTCCATTTTCCCCCTTTCCCCTAGTTTACCATTAAGTAATACAATCCTTGCCATCGCATTCTCTATCGTTTCCCGCCGCATTTCTCGGCCGCTATTGATCGAAGATGGATATTCATCTATATCATTTATTGATTTTTCTTCTTTCCCTCGTCTTTTTGCGGCCTCTTGCTCCCTGTTCAGTCTGGTCTGGCTGCTTGGAAGGGTGCGGGGAGGCGTCCATCCATCCTCGTATCCTTCTTCGCAGCGGCACGATAGTCAGTCGATAGATAGCTTACACTGATGGCGTACGCTAGTAACTGTACCTCACAGTGGGAGAAACTTGCCTGTACTCCGTTAAAGCAAGCCTAGGTGGAAGTAAGTGATATTCGTCGTATGGACGGGCCACCCTTGACGAGATAGATGTGAGGACATGGTCAAGAGACAGCATTCCCAACAGGCCGGCTCGTCAGGTGGATAAGACGTAGTTAGTACGCCCAGCCAGTTGGAGCCAGACGTATGTACACACTTCGTAAGTGCTTGAGCTGAGTCCATACACATTCACACACCACGACGTTAGTGGATCTTGATATCCCGCCTGGCGCTCGCCGGCCTCCTCAAACCGCCGTTCTTGTTGGTGGAATATCGATGTGTACACTCCCTCAGCGTTTTTTTTTCTCACTCGCTTCACATATCTGTCATCCCACCGCTTGCTTCAGCCTGCCACATGGCCACTCCCCCCTTTTTGTCATTCTTTTTTGCTTCTCGCCTCGACTGGGGACAGTGGGGGTGACTGCCAATGAGGTAGCAGACAGGCTTGCTGGGTGGGAGGCAATGCAGATGCAAGGCAAAGATGGCTGCAGCTATACCATGCACGCAGCCCGTAACGTATGCGAGATGAAATGTACTTTCTCGAAGGGCACATCTTCATACAGTACCCCGTACCTTTCTGGCAGAACAGAGAGCAGAGTGAAGGGCACGTACGACGAGCCAAGGAAGCACAGGGGCAGGGACAAGGGCCAGGGACAAACTCGCTCAATCGATGACAGAACAAAATCATGTAATCGATAATGGACGGAGACAAAAAGTCAGGCAAACCAACTTGACCTGTTGGTTCAAGGACGAGGACGAAAAAGAGCGATGTACTCCCTCCTCTCGTAACCCCCCGCTCCATCTGTGCCTTTTTTTTTTCGAATGTTCACAGGAAGGCAGAAGAGAAAAGAAAAGAAAAGAAAAACGAGCTCACAAAAAACAAAATATGCCTGTCTCCTGTTCTGGCTGTTCTTGAATCAGTTTATTCTGAATCCCTCGATTGGCTGATGCACTCACACGATGAGAGAAAGAGGCAACTTCAACCTCAATCTGTGCCGCTTTCTGCCCGTTGAGGGAGGATTTCTATGTACGAACTCCGTGCATATCGTCTTCTCCCTTTTCGGTTACCCCCTCCACCAAGCAGCGTTGAATCCAGCATCAGGCCAGCAAGCCAGAGAGCAAGCCAACAAGCCTACAGGCCGCCCGCAAGGTCCAGCCGAGTCTGCACAGGGCAAGTCACCCTTTAACCAGCGGATCGGTGCTGGTCCTGTCAGTGTCTCTTGTCTCTTGACCGTGTACGGGCTAAGTAAGTGTATGATATGTAGTACCAGACACATGGGGTTCGACGCCACCGTTGCATAGACAAAAAGGCAGAGGCCGCGGAGACATGCAGCATCCCAACGGCATTAACTGTCAGGCCAAGGTGTACAAGCTCTGCCTGTGCTGTGTGCTTCTTGTCTCTGTCCATCAGGTCCTGTTGTTTCTGTGACAATTATTATTGATAATCGAGGTATCCCTGTTAGCCGTCTATCGATCGATCTGATCGATCGAGCCGGGTAGCGTAGGATTCCACTATATGCTGGCAATGTATGTAAGTATATGGCTCCATATCGCCCTTATACTCCGGCCTCTCGCTCGCTGTCCGCTGGCTTGTTCGAGTCGCCTGCGTGATTGTTGATGTCCAGCCAAGCGCCATCCGGGAGTCATGCTGAGTCAGCGGTACGAGTATGTAACGCCTGTACCGGTATGTAAAGTGTTACTCGTTTTATACACCCGTTTAGGTCTAGCTCCGCCAAGAGATCATCCGAAAAAGTGTTAACCTTAAAAAACGCTTGACCCACACTTAACTTAAACCTTATTCGCTCCTAACCTAACCTTCTTTTTCTCTCCTTCTTGGACATCAGAAGAAAAATAACACTAGAAGAAAAAAAACAAAAAAAGGCCCTCGCCATCCTCCTCGCTGTCTCGTTCTTCTTCGTCTCCTGCTGTCTCTCTGCCTCCTCCTCCTCTCCACCCCCATCCGTCTCTTCTCCACGTCCGCCGCCCACACACCAGACGAACGAATATCCACCTGCTAGTCTCTTAGTCTTGTTGCTTTGCTTTTTCCTTCCCCCCCCCGTCTTCCTTTGCTCTCTCATCCCTCGCCGCAAACACCGGCGCCCTGGAAGGCTAGTCAACCACTTGGCTCCTCCAAAAGAAACATACACATCGAGAATCTCGGTGGTGCTTCTCCTGCGCGGTGTTTCCTTTTTTGATACTCCGTACAAGAAAAAAAAAAAATAAAAGAGAGGATATCGAAGTCAAGCCAGACGCAGGGCTGGGTCTGTCTGCTTCGAACAAGGCCGCCTTGCTTTTTCCACTGTGGTTTCACCCTCGTTCTTCTCCTTCTCTGCCACTGCTTCTTCTGCCTCTTCTCTTTTTTTTTGCCCTTCTCATTTTCTTTTCTTTTCTTCTTTGCTTTCTAACTGTAAGCTTTTTTTGCTTTTGACTTTGGCTTTGCTTTCTTCTCTTTTGCCCTGCCGCCGCTACGAACTCACAGGGAGAGCAGTGAGATCGCTTGCTGCCGATTACTGTTGCTATCTGGCTGCTGGGCTCGCTGCTATTTCATTTGCTCCCCTCGTTTGTTTCATGCTTCATCACTATAATATTATATTAAGATCGCTGCTCGCACTCCTCCGGCCTCGACCTAGTCTCTCACATCACTCCCCATAACCTCTATCAAAAGGCCCATTAACACTCGACAGCGCATTCGCATCCTCCTTCCGACGTCTCCATCTCCTCCCTTCATCCGTGCCGCGGTGCATGCTCCCGTAGAAAATCAACCAGACAGCCTCCTCCTCTTCCCTCCCCATCTCTTCCTTTCGCACGCACCGCTACCATGCCTCGCACACGTAGCTTCCCGTGTTCGTGGGTCTCATGCAAAAAGGTATGTCTGACCGCAGATGCAACGACTCGGCCTCTATGCCTCTCTGATGCTACTAGAAGATGCATCTTTTTACACCTGCTAACATTGATGGACTGCAGGTGTTCAATCGCAAATCAGATCTCTGCAGACACTACCGGATTCACACGAATGAGCGGCCATATCGATGCAACTTCCCGAACTGTACCAAAAGCTTCATTCAGCGCTCGGCGTTGACGGTCCACTCTCGCACACATACTGGAGAGAAACCACATGTCTGCAACTTTGCAAACTGCAGCAAAGCATTCTCAGATGTACATCTCTCTTCACTTTTTGAGGGAGGAACAAAACAAATTTATCTAACGTCCTGCCTAGTCGTCGAGTCTTGCTAGACATAGAAGGATACACACTGGTCGACGGCCGTACAAGTGTCTGGAACCAACTTGTGATCGAAGGTTCGTTTACTATACTGCCAGGGGGGAGGATGGCCGTTGAGAAAAGAATGCGCAAATTGACTCTGTATGATGTATAGCTTCTGTCGCAAGACAACACTCACAAAACACCAAAGCCGCTCACATCAAGCGGAAGCCGTTTCGCCATCTGCGCAATCATGCGAATCAGAGCTCTATTCTCAACAGGCGCAGCACCCGATGTCGATGATGTCACAGTCGCCGCAGGTACCGCAGCACCAACTGCAATCGCAACAGCCTCAGCCGCAGGAACAGCAGCTCCAGTCACAACCACAACATCTACAATCTCAGCCGCGGCCACAACAACATTCCCCTTACCAACAACAACACTCCCCCATAATAGCCGTGCCTGTGGCGGACTACTTCCACCACGCCCAAGCCCAACCAACAACTGTCCATTCCATCCCTATCTCCGCAGAACAATCCATCCTTCCCCCACAGGTACACTACGTCACAACGGGCATGATCCCATCCCAGATCCCCCGTTATGACATCCCAATCACAACCTCAGCATCCGTCTCCACACCAACATCTATGGATCACCTCGCATACAACCATCCCGTTTCGGTATCTATGCCCCAGCAGCAGCGGATCCAAGCACCGCAACCTGTACCAATCCCGCATCAGGCAGACGGAGGCTTCCAGGTTCTCCCTGTTGTTGCAGGAGGAGCTGGCGGACAGTACATGAAGGAATTCGATCAAATGAAGCATGGCCAGCAAAGGTTCTTTGGATCAGCATACCCAGAACAGATGAACTGGGAATTTTTGGGCTTGAGTTAGCATAGCGCTGGCTACCATGCATGGCGATACAACGACGATTACGAGGACTTTACGCAAAACAGACTAATGCAAATGAACGAGTTATTCATTGGAAAAAAAATGCATCTCCATCAAGCGCAGTCTGCACATACCGACCATTTCCCGATCCGTTCCAGTCCGCCCTCCTTTTCTTGTTCATTCCCCGTCTGCGAATACCCCTTATCGCTTTTTTTTATTATTTTTTTTTTTTTTTGACCCTTTATGGACGTCCTTTTTTTTTTTCTCTCCCTTTTGGAACCGGAACGGGCCGGGAACTCAACCAACAAAAGACCAAAGGCTAAAAATATAGGCCAGGACTCTTCACTTCTTCTTTCTACTTGTTTTACTCCAGTTTTATCTGTCCCTTGAACGGCCCGGAAACTTGGAAACGGCCTGGCGTTGTTTATGTTGGCTTCTCTGCATCATTATCATTTATCATTTTCCATAGCTTTCGTTTCCGTCTGGCGCTGAAATATGTTGCTATACCTCTGTACCTACGGTCGTGGAATGGCTGGCGATGTCTTCCTGCCTCGTCATATCTATACATAGATATCTCTTTCTACCATATCCACTGATACATTTTCTTCTCTCCTTTTCCCTCTATCTTTTTCTATACAGCGAGACTTACCTGGTGGTTTAGCTAGGCTCTGCTGCTGGCCTTCTCCTTTTTCTCGTTGATACCTCTGATTTATTCCGTTACTCATCCAAATATCCCCTTATTTAATTATATGGTGGAGGAAAAGAGGACGGGAGGAGACATGAGGATCCGATCTACGGGCCATGTCTGCTTCTACCGAACTCAACGGGCCACTGAACCATGGTTGATGGTTAATGGCTTCGTTTTGGTATATATCTATTCTTGTTTATACTTACTTACGCTTTTGTCTATTCTTCCTTCACTTCTTCCTTTCTTTTTTACTATCTCTTATATATTTTCTTTTCCTTTTCAAAATGTTTATATGGAGAGACTTTCGAATGAATGGGAAATTAATTGGACTTACAAGCGGTCATATATCCTTGCAAGACACATATTCCTTAACTACTTAGCATAGCATAGCCAGCATGGAATTTGACGCTTGATGTCATGTCTCTTCCCATCAGTGAGACGTTAGAAAATGTACGTTTCCTCCATGCCACTATCCTTTGCTTTTTCATGCTATATTATATTTGATGCGACCACTGCGACCGCTCTGCGCTCCCCGTTAAGGTTGATCGATCTCCCGTTCTCGAAAGGAAGACGACACACAGTTCTATGCATATGATCACTCATAAATATAAGAAAAAGGCCCGCGCCCTTCCCTTTGCCCAACCGTCTCGGCCACCTCCTGTCCTCTCCAGCCAGTCCACGCCGCAACGCTCGACTTACGCGGTCTCACAATCGAAAGCAGTGTAACATGATAGGCCAGACAGCTTCGATGGTGCCAGGTAGCACGCGCACATACATGCCACACACCCTGGCACTGACTGCTCTGTCTCCCTTCTGGTTATCAGATTATCCTCTGTATCAGGTTGCAAGGTAGAACATACAACATACATCGGAGAAGTCCCTCTTTGATACCAGGATGGACCGGTGGAAAGCATCCCTATATCCATTTCATACATGGCTCTTCGCAGATACCACTGCGTATCAGTGCTACCTTTCAAATGAACGTTGCACGAGCCGTACGAACCCGGTTTCTCTAGGGGCTAGAGTTACATACATCGATATGTCCTATAGATGCTCTGTATATCCTTGCAGTGCATACTTCGGTAACCTCGACATACACGCCTCTCAGCCACAAGTATGGGCCGCCTGGAAGTTCCTTTGACCTTTGGACCGTCTCTGCCGTTACACGCCATGCCAACTTGTCTGCCTGTTTGATAGCCATCGATCGTAGCTTGGACGTTATATGTTACACTGCACCAGCTGCTAAATATGCAAGGCAAGCCCAAAACTGGAGAAACACGGCAGAGTCGGTGGTTCAGAATAGCTTGCCCTATCGAAGCCGGAGTGCTACCTTAACCAATAGATGTATACGGAGGTTACACCCGATATAACAGAAAGAACGGTACAAACGGCGACCAGATTGAGAAAAAAACAAAAAGGAATGAAAAAACAAGACAGAACAAGGCAAAGTAATCACCCTACGGCCTTCTGGGATAGACCGGGCCAGACGAGCAGCTCATCGAACAGGAACAGGATTGACTGACAGCCAGAAAAGAGCTAGCCATGGAATAAGAAAGGAGGTCAAGAACTACGTTGCGACTTTTCACTTGATCGGTTGTAGTCACCAATGAGCTCACCACATATATGTTTTTCACCAGCTGACTAGCCCTCGTTCTCGATCAAAGCCTCCCCTCAGTTGCGTATCAGGTTTAACAACCTTGCCCTTGAGCACAGTGTACTTGATGATACCTTCACAGTCTTCTGGACGGATTCTGGCAAGCCATATGCCCTGAACAGCGCCCTCGATACCACCATCAATCCCATCGCCGCGATCGTCGTCGTCTCCCTGGCCTTTCTTCTGCGCCTCTTTTTTATACCACTCAAAATCTCTCCTCCGATAGACCATCACGTTAGCGGAGTATTTGTGTCCTCCCACATGCGAGATGAAGTATATACCTACCCCGCCTGGCCTTTCGTCATGAAGATCCCGGTACAAGCCCAGTGGACGTAAGTGGCGTTCAAACTCACGTCGTAAGAGGGGAGCTGACTGGCCGCATCGAGCGTCGCGGGTACGCTGTGAACAGAGCAGTATCACCGCTGCATGTGGACAGGGGCGAGAAAGAAGAGGTGTGGGAATCTTACTAGCAGCGGGCACATCATGAGCTCCCTCTGCGTTGTTCCCACTTATAGAGGAGAGCTGACTTCCCCGTTCTGCGTCTTCAATTGGTTCTGTATCTACCACGGGAGCGCTGTTCGGTAGTGGCGGTTGATTCAGCGGTGTGGTCGTTGTGGCAGCCTTATCGACGAAATGGTGAATCAGGTCTGGCGCACGCGCGGGTGTGACATTCTCCACTATTGTGAATGCAGGTAATATCAAGGCTGTTGTCGGTTGCTCTCCCTCGGGATACATATGGTATTCATCTGGTACTGGCATATTAGAGGCGGATAGTTTGAGCGTCTGCATCATATGGCCGTATTAGCACGTCATGATATCTTGCCTCTGTCCTACGGTGTATAGACACATACCCCATTTACAGGCTTCACCCCACTCTTTTCGACAGCTTCCATAACGCTGCCTTTTTCGTCGGCGACATCTCGAACCCAATCTGTCTTACCCGTCGCAATAAGGACGTGGGTCGCCCATCCTGCGACATTCCCGTATAACTTGTCTTCCAAGTCCACAACAAATTTCGCAGGGTACCGGATCGTACAGCTTGCGCAATCTCTGTCACAATCTTCTCCGTCTAGCTCACGCCGGACTTTGGGGAATAGCACATCTTCACTGGCGGTGGTAAAAGTTATCTGCGTCTCCGCTTTCAGCTCATTATCTGCATCCGCTTCAGCTGGAATATCATTAATTTGACCATCAGTTGATGTAGTTAGATTCGATCGAGACGAAGATGCTGATAGAGAGAGTGACGAGAGTCCTCTCTTTAGGAATGACTGCATAGTGGACTAATTGTTGATATCTTTATCTGTTGGGCATTGTGGGGTTATCAGATCAAAGATTGAAAATTTATCTTATCTGATGCGTCTTAGACGACCCGAGCCTCGCTTCGGCGGAAAAATAGGCGCCGGCTGTCATCACGTGTATAGCTAATAACTTTACGTAAGCAAACAGCTTTTCCAATGTTTCCCATCTTTTCTTTCGTCTGATATCAAACGGTTCCTAATAATTGATAGGAGACTAAGTATGGATTCTCAAACTTTATACTTGAGCAACGCAGTGGAGATACCCGTCAAAAATACCCCTGGCATTAGTTGAATTCACAAAAGGAAGACAGTGTGGCGTGGCATCAGGCTCAAGGCATTGCAGATAACCAACTCACACTGCATATGCAGAACTAAGTGGATCAGCCTGGTTGGGGACGGTTTGGTCCGCAAAAAGAAAGTGGCAGAAGCATCTATTCGGGCGAAGGGAACTCTGATCCCGGCATGTTCATGTATGCCTCAAGTGACGACATATATCCTTCCTTTTGCCCTCAGCAAATACACTTGCACATTTGGCGTATATGGCCGAACCGAATACGACCCGCCCTCAAAGCGTCAACTAGGCAACGGTCTATTTGCTGTTTCTTATGTTATTTCACTCAAACATTCCAAGTTTTACCACAAAGATCCTTACGGGCACCCGGCCATGGAAAACTGTTGTAAAAAGGTGGACTACGAAACAGCACCATTTCTATACGGAAGTCTAGGTAGGCCCCTACACTCAATCTCCCCAGCACGCCGGGAGAAGTGGTTGATCATATAAACCCTTCCACTTCAATATCTTGAGTGGGTATTTCCTGTTTTTAGAAACAGTGGGGGAAAACCGGGTTGATAGAATGTGTATTAATAGTATCTAGTTATTAAGAAGTGTCTGATATCTCCATGACCTGTTTCTTGACCTGTTCTACCGTAGAAGAAGTCACGAAGAATTCTTACCAGCCCCGGGCTTATTTCATCTGGTATTGTTTGTTGGCATGGAATTATATCTGCCGTGGCTCCTTTGCTAGCCGAGGTGCCCCAGGCCGGATAGTTGGGAGAGTATTAACCAAAGCTTGGTATTTGAGCCCGAGCACTCCGCATCGAGGAAAAGTGGAGTGCCCATCCGGGAATCTCGCATAAGAGTAGCTTGGCTCCCCATATCTCTTGGAGCTGCTTAGCTTGGGCACTGATGGATCTTCGGTAAGATTTCTGGCACCATTATATGGCATTTCTAATAGAGACAAGGGTGACAGCCAAATCTCTGGTTGTACATGTATTGAGTCATTGAGACTCATAATGGACATACAACACCACCTGGGATTAGTGGTGTACAACTGGCTTTTATCCACCATATTCATACATGGGAAATTGTGCGGTGAATGACACTCTCCCCGGAATTAACGGAAGCATTTGAGCGTACTGGTTGTAAAGATCTGGTGGATGGGGTTCGCCGTGCCCGCACGCTGCGTGTATCGTTTGTTTCAAGACGGAAGCTGCTCTTATCAGAAGCCGAGTAAATTGAAGAATACCACGAGCGAGATGGTCGAAGTCCCCTGTTCTCTGCAACTGATACAAAAGATTGGTCGGAACTTGAAAAAAAAGGTCTATTTCCGTAAGAAGAACCTTGACCGACAACTGACCCCCCGCGGTCAGACGAGTCCGTTGACTGTATTTCCAAAATAATGGACGGATCAATTCCTTTCATGCTCCGTAAAATTTCAGCGAAGAGTCCTATCATTTCACGAAATTCGTTTTCCTCTAGCGGCCGCGCCGAGAACCGCGAACACTCGTACAACCGAAGAAAATCCCGGATTAGGTGCGGTGGGTCGATCAGATTAAGGCGGTTGAGGTGGTTCAAGTAGTCACGAAGGCACATATTTGATGGCCTCTGCAATACCTCGACAACACGTTTATCTGGGACCTCCTCTTGACCTCTCTCATTCTCCTGAAAGTTATTAGAAGCTTGATGATCCAGTCGCGAGGCTGGCCTGGGGTCCATAGGAGCTAGAGATACAGCTTTCGCCTCTATCAAATGGGGAAGTTCTTTGATGACTACTTCAAACTCCTGGTTTGGAAGATCTTGACAATGCGGTGCCGTCCAGCCCGCATGTGAAATCGAGCCCCAAGGAGGATCTTGATCTCTTGGAATCAGAAGGGACTGGTCAAGATGAGAGGTATCGTCCTGGGTAATATCCCTTGGCCGGGCCTGTTGGGCAATGACAGAGCTCCGGAGGAAGCCTTCAACAACGAGCCTTCTGACAGTCGCTGGTACGTCTGCTTTCTCGACGGGGATCCATGGCTTTGGAATTGCCGCAAAAACGCCGCGGTTTGTGAACAAGCGGCCAGCATATATCACGAAGGAAAATGATAGAGTAAGTAAATACACTATACTGACGGCAAAGATGTTGCCTAGACTGTTGCTTCGACGGGACTGATAGATTATGTCCGCAGGGGAAAGGATTGTCAAGGCTAGGAGAATAATGGAAAGGAAGGAAAAGAGAGTCGCGGAGACGATGCGAAATAGGCGCCTATAAAACGACATGCTGAATATCAAAATTTATGCAAATAAGCCCCAAGGGACTATACGTAGGTTGCATAGCTGAAAAGATGCAGGGCTTCTTGCTTCCTTATCATCTTGTTGTTTGTTCATCCTTTTGATGTTTCCTTTTTGCCCCTTAAACTAAAAAGCATGATTACATAATCAAACTATCAAAGCTAAGCCATAGTTAACTAAATGGACTCAATTTGAGGATAAAAGAACCTGGAAGATCAATGTACCATTGGTATATAAATTATATTTGTACACAGAGTAGGCATCTCTAATTATTAGTTTCAATGGTAGGTATGGCTCAATTCCCTTCTGCACGGGCGACAAGCCCTGCATCCAACCCAGTCGGTTCCCACGTATCCTTGATCTTCTTGTTTTGAGCCCAGACTACGTCTCCCTTCAGATATACAAGAACACCATCCTTCCCATTAGCACTAGCCGTAATCCTAAACAGAGGAAGACCACTTTGCAAATGGGCTTCACGGAGGGGAACCATGAGGAGACCCTCGTCGCCACACCATTCCTCAACGATATCTTTGAATGAAGGCTCCTCAACGTGTACCTTTTGCGGTTTCGCAGGTTTTCCACTTGCATGCTTGTCACGGTGTTTGTGGTGCGATGGCTTTTGATGAGATGATGACGAGGAAGCAGGAGGTGGTAGATCCGTCTTTGCTTTGTCTCCAAGATCGAGGGCCAGGTTCATCATTTCAAGGCCTCGGTTCCATTCCGCTGCAACTTCCGGGATAGCATTGATTTCGTCCGGTATTTGTGACTTCCACCAAGAGAACCATTGGCCAACTTCATCATAGTTTGGTTCTGAGGTAAGCCAGAGGTGCAAGATAGCATGCCATTTTGGGAAAAATTCGGCAGAGAGCAGAAGACCCAAAACATTGGGTTTAAAGAATGGCTTCCACTTCATCACATCTTCAAACGCAGTTAGGTCCTGATCCTGTGGATTGACGTCAAACTCTTCCCGCAGATGGCGGCCAAGTCGGGGTAGAAGATGATTCTGCAAAGCTTTATCAAATTCAGAGTCCAGAACGTCTTTCCACACTTCAATTTTGTGTACAAGGCCGCGACCCAGATCCCAGGTATCCAACAACACCCGAAACTTCCTCTTCGCATCCGACATCAGACCAGTTGGTGCCTTGGGGTCCGTATGATGCTCATCGAGGTAACGTAGCCAGTCAAAAAGCCACCACGGGAAGTGTTGTGATGAGCCATTGTTCTTACTACTCTTCGGCCTCCAGGACTTCAGTGCTGAGGTGAGCTTAGGAACAATTACCTGATTTAGTATATTTGAATATACAAATCCAGGTAGAAGGTCTTTCCATTCCTCCATAAGTGATGTTGCGGGACCAGGGTCATGAACTTCCCACTCATTCATTAGGGCGGATCGAACCCTGGGGAGCCACAGAGTGTACATCATAGACTCGTATGGTGTAGTTGACTGGCGGTATTTTTGTGTTTCGATATTTGCCTTTTTCGTGCGGGACATGAATCGATGTAAGCGCCGGAAATTTGAAACTAGATATTTTGGATTTGACAGAGGAACCCAGTCCTCCAAAGATTCCTTCAACAATGGATGAACGGCAGCGACAGCAACTTCCGGAAGTTGGCATTCATCAATCAAGTCTTGATAGTTTGTTTCAATTTCTTCCAACTTCGTAGTAACTTCTTCCCACCTTTTGTCAAGGTCCTTGTCTGAACTCGTAATTTCTAAACCTTCGATAGCATTTGTCAAAGCGGTTATGTTCTCCAGTTTGGACTGCTGAGCATCCATTTCATCAACAATTTGGGCTTCCTCAAGTTCAACAAACTTCTTTCTCTCGCTGAGGCCTTTCCATTCATCAGCAAACGCTTCGAGGTCGTGACGGGCACGTCGAGCAATTTTCCAAGCTTCTCCTTCATTTGCATTAACAAATTCCATTGGAGTCATCAGGCCAGCTGTTGATGTCAAGAGCTTCTGCTCCTTGCCGGTGGCATCAACTAAGGATTTCAGCACATTGGGAACCGCCAGTCCAGCCGCATCGGCTTCAATCTCCCGTGCTGTCCTATACTTCGGCTTTGCTGGACCTCTAGGTGTACTGGCTCCGCTTCCACCGCTGGTCCCTTCTCGCAACCTCTTCTCTTTGAGCTTTTTACGCAGCTTGCGCTCTTCGTCGGAGCTCGTTTCCAGAACCTCTCCTCTCCTGGCAGCTTCTCGTTTGGCTTCGTCTTTTGCCTGTTGTGACTTCTCCCTGACCGCACCTAGACCAACTCCCTGGGGTCTGAGGACAGTTTCCACAGGGTTGAGGATACCCTGCCCGCTTGTACCAAGACCCTGGCCTTCCACATAGCCCATCTTTGCCATCATGCGGGCTGCAAAGCTGTTGGCTACCATAGGAGTTGACTTTCCTCCGCCGCCTGACTTTTCATTGTTTGTTGCATTCTTCCATGCTGGGCGAGCTGGTTTCGACGCCATGGTCGGAGGTGACGGTGAACGGTTGGAAGCAGGCGCAAAGCCCTGGAATCCGAATGATGGTCTCGCGTAGGCCTCTTCCTCTTCCTCCTCCGAGTCCACGTCACTGATCTTCCGTTTCTGCCTTGCAAAGGACGGGCGATATGTAGAATCCATCGAGCTTGTAACCCGGTGTCGTTCGAGGTAGGACTAGGTATATAACCGGGGAAAAGATAGTGTATTCAAAATGGACGTCCTAAGCTCTGCTCCCATCCCCCACGAAGACCTTTGACTTACTGGCTTGTGATAAGTTGATGTGCCCGACTTTTGTTCAAGGTCGCGCTTCTTCGTCTGCTGGATCAAAAATAAAGTTCGGGACTGATATCGGATAAACTGTATCGCCTTATCTCCGAGACGCCGATGACATCAGTGATTACTAATAGCGACATTGACATCAACAACAACTTTTGCATCTAAAACTTGTCAACATCGATGTTGATATCATCATTCACTAACCGAGGATCACCGAGATTGGAATATATAAGGCCTCAATTCTCCTACCATACTTCAATTGAGCCGACCAGAACCGAGTATAGGCCAGAAATCTGCTAAACATGGCTACTTCTACTCTTTTCAGACCAGCTGCCCGTGCTGGAGCTGCTGCATTCCGCTCGGCCGGTCCCCGGGGCCTTGCAGGTGTTGCTTCTGCTCGATTCATCACCAAGGTTACTTTGCCGGACCTGCCATGTAAGTGTGAATGCATGGGGTAGATCCTTTTGACTTCATGCGCCTTTAAGTTATCGACTTTGTTTACATCCTTCTATTACACCCAATGGAAGCGCCGGGTTGCCTGAATGCTGCTTACATTCTATCCGGATACCATTGGACAGCCTTCACTGACTTGATATTTCCATAGATGACTATGGCGCGCTTGAGCCAGCCATTTCCGGCAAGATCATGGAGCTTCATCATTCCAAGCATCATCAAACCTACGTCAACTCCTACAACGACGCAGTTGAGAAGCTCGCCAGTGCCCAGGGCAAAGCCGATATCCAGACCCAAGTCTCCTTGCAGGCATTGACCAACTTCCACGGAGGTGGTCACATCAACCACTCTCTGTTCTGGGAGAACTTGGCTCCCAAGAACTCTGGTGGTGGTGAGCCTCCATCTGGTGCTCTTGCAAAGGCTATTGATGAATCTTTTGGTGGTCTCGAGCCGTTCCAGAAGACCTTCAACACTGCTTTGGCTGGTATCCAGGGAAGCGGTTGGGGATGGTTGGTGAAGGATAAGCAGACTGGCAAGATCCAGATCAAAACTTATGCTGTATGTCGAGGCCTTTCCCTTTTCCTAGTTCTAGATGCTGACATTCCATTACCTAATAGAACCAAGACCCTGTCTCCGGTCAATTCATCCCTCTTCTCGGCATTGATGCCTGGGAGCACGCATACTAGTCAGTTTCCCTCCATCTGTCTCCAACGCATACACTTACTAACAAATATATGTATAAATAGCCTCCAGTATGAGAACCGCAAGGCTGAGTATTTCGGCGCCATATGGGATGTTATTAACTGGAAGACTGTTGAGAAGAGATATGCGTAAGGAAATCTCTTGTATATGTACAACAGCTCCCGGCTGTATACAGCGGCACTTCGTTATCAATTCTTTCTGAGACAAGTTTCCCAAAACAAAATATTCCCCTGAGCTGTGTCTATCTTTTTGTAACTATATATACAAATTCCTGCGGTCTGAAAGCATCAATATACCTCGCTTAAACAAGCCATGCTAGAAAAGAAGAGAGCCCAATTTAACAGTATAGATATCTGTATCATTTCATCGTCTAACCAGAATACGTCGTGATCCCACCTAGGTTGGGAAAGCATATCTAATTTTATCCCCATAGCACATTCGTTTCACGCACTTATACTTGTTTCTTCTTTTCTTTTTGTTGTCCTCAATCGTTGACTCCTTCCCTATAAAACGCCAGGCTAAGAAAAATCGTATTTGTATACATTCCATGCAAAAAGGCATGTACGAGGATGGATAAAACTCATATAACCTCCAGAAGCTGGAATAGCATCATAAATAAACACCAGGAAGGTCAAAAACACAAAACAGAAAAAAATACATACGGAACAAAATGGGTATGGGTATTTGAAGTGTACAGTTGATGGTTAAAGAAGTGTGTGTAGGCTATGCTATGTCAATGCACAAGGGAGTACGTGAATACAGATGGGTGGTAGAGGGGTTAGGAGGCTCTTATGTATTTCTTTCATCTGCGTGGTCGGCGGACAGAGAAGCGTGAGCGTCGATCAGACGGCTCCTCTGCATGCATTGAAGCAGAGAGTGGGTTCATTTCGGTGGGAGAACTGGAGAGGTCATTGGTAAATGCCAGTGCAGAGAGAGGTCGAGTACTTCCTCGAACGGGCGTTCTTTGTGTCTGTGCGTGTGACGGAACCTTCTGTTGATCGTGCTGGGGATGAGCGTACGCTGATAGAACAGAAGTTGCCGTAGCAGGCGGAGTTAGAGATGGATCAGCATCCTTGACAGTACCGGAACCTTTCATCCAGCCAAAGAAACCGTGCGAGCTGCGCCGTTTATGGTCGTTTGTTTCTGAGGTCTTTGGTCTGCGGGTTGTGCCTCCTGCGTGGGTGGTGGGGGAGGGTGTCTCGTGGTGGTCATTTTGTGGAGTTTTAGGACCTGTCGCTGGTGAATTTCCGGCGGACGAAGAAGGGCCTGCTATGGAATTGCTTCGGACCGCAGGAGAAAGGGTAGGAGTTTTGTTGAAGAATGGAGGACGCAGGTTGATACGCCGACGGGGTTGAAGTTCAGAAAGGACACGAGCACCTCTATTGCGGAAGCCGTTGCTCACAGGAGTAGTTTGCTGTTCATTGCCTGCGGGTTGCTCCATTGGCTCTGAGGATAGATGCTGGGCGGGCTTGATATCTTTATCTTCGTTGGAGGAAGAAGCAGGCAGTGCAGCCTCTAGCCAATCCTCGGGCGTAAGGGACGGGGCATTGGACACCTTTCGAATCTGTTCCTGGGAAGACTTTTCACGACCATTACGGCTCCTGTTTTTGGGTATAACTACGCCCAACTCATTGACAGCTCCGGCATGAAGGGCAGGGTCAAAATTCCGGGTAGCTGGACGGTGAGTATACGCAAAGGATGGAAACATGCTTGCCATCTGGTATTCTTCATCAGTAATAAAGGCTGGCTGAGTCGAGTCACTCCATGTCTCCAGACCGTCGGACAGAATTGTTTCTGCAGTGCTAGGTCGTGTAGTAGCAACGTCGTTTGCTGATCGACGGCGTCCGAGTGTGCGGTCAATGGAAAGTGTTCGTCCAATAGTACTTGAACGGTCATATCGACTTCGCTCAGCAATGATGCTTGTGTTGGATTTGTTGCGCATATCAGCGTATGTTGTGCTCATTGTATCTGGCGTTGGAGGGAGTCTGGCGGCATGATACTGAGGAATGACCAAAGATGGAGGTTCAAAGTTAGAACCTTTTGAAGGCTGTTTAGCCCCAGGCAGAGCAAATTGGTTGTTTGTTGGCGTTCGTAGAATTGCATCTTGCTGACGGGCTTCCTTCGGCTTGGATATTCTTGTCGTTTCCATCCCATCAGGCTGCATCCAGTGTTCTATACGTGAAAGGCTAGTTGGTTTCTTAGATACGCTGTGAGAACGGTCTCGGGGGGATCGCGAGTCTTCGATGGGGATCTTTGCAGTAGCAAGGTCGGTATTGACCTTCAGCTTCGAACGGCCTGGTCCATATGCGTCTGAAGGGCTTTGTGGCGGATCCAGATAGCTGCATTCACTCAATGCACTCAACCTAGGAGACTCCATCTCATGCGTTCCATCATCAGTCCCTCGTGTGGAAAAGGCATTGAATGTTGTTCGAGATTTGTCTGAATCCGTCATATATACATTCCTCAATGCGCTGGTGCTGTTATCCTCTCCCTGAAGAAAGGAGGGCTGACGCTGCGGACGCCTAACGGCGCCTGGAGGAGGAGTGGGAGTCTGGGCATGGACCTCCATTTGGTTGGAGTAGCTACGGGACATTGACGGCCGCTTATCCCTGCGGGAAGATGTGCGCTCGGGGACATCCAGATATATCTTGTTCTTGGGCGTGAGTGCCTGGGGAGAACTAGATTGGAACACAGCGGCCGTGCTGTCACTGGAGCAAGGTCTGGCGGTCACAGGGCGTTCTTCTTCCCTCTGAGCTTCAAAGGCTTCCAACTTCGCTTCTAGCTGGCAGATGAGTTCAACTGCTTCATTGACGGCCTGGTCTCGTTTGTCGAGCTCCGATCTTAGTTCCTCGTTTGACTCTCTGAGTCGTTGGTTATCCTCTTCAGTGGCGCGGAGTTCTTGTAACTCCTGGTCCATAAGTTCCATATGCTGAACCTGCTCTTCGAGTTCATCCATCTTTTCCAATTTCTTCTCCAGAGCAGATACCTGCTGCGTGCGATGGAATACCTCAAGCTTCAGGTCGAAGTTCAGCTTGTTCAATTTTGATACATACTATCTTCCCGTTAGATAGGCTTGTTTATGATGGATTCAACAAGATCGCTTACCTGGTCCATCTCCCTGAATCCCATCTCGCGGGGCTGTTTGAGGCCTGCCGACAGGGCATTGTTAATCTTGCGCTGCTTTTCAGAGGACGAGTCCTCTTGTTGGTCTGTAGTTGCAGCAGTATTAGGGGCCTGGGGACTGTTCTCGACATGATGCTGTTCACAGGCAGAGCTGGCTCGAGGACCACGAGAAGCGCGCTGTTCGTTGATGAGGTTCTGAAGGAGGGTCGACGTTGGGTTCACAAAGGGAGATCCAGCCGCGCTTGAGCTCCCTACAATTTGTTAGCATCCCGTAGTCGTTCATTCTTCGCATGCTATAGCACTCACTTTGCGCTCCATCTGTGTCTTTGGCCTGGCCAGGTATGTGCCTGTATTCTAGAGGAGGGGATAGGTCAGTATTATTATGCAGTTAGACGCTCCTGTCGGAATGGCTGGGGGAGTACAAACCAGCAGGTATATGGACGCCATCGTTCAGCGTATGCAGACGAGCACTCGGCCGCACACTCTGAGACTGCTCGGCAGCCATCTGCTTGCCTTTTGTCCCGTCAGTCTCCCGCATCCTGCGGCTCGGGCAAAGACTTGAGTGCGTACTGTTCAGGCGCCCCGAGGGCTCCAGGGAGCGTCTCTGTCTCGCATCCATGGCCGAGCAATCAATTGAAGCCGTGCCAAAGACAGGATCCGGTTCAAGCGACGGTAGAGGTCAGGCTCGCGCAACCATCGAGGACAAGCCTTTCGGAGAGAACGAAGAGGATGGAGGAGGAGATTAGGACGAAGGGAATGAAGCTGATAAGCGACTCGAGTCTGCGTCTGCGTCCCTGTGTGGGTGGCGGGGGGCGCAGGAATGCGATATCTGTGACTCGTTCGAAAGCGTGACAGGGATAAACGGCGTATTCTGGTCTGCGAGAGGCAATGCAGGCCGCAGGAATTGGACGTGTGAAGATGTTGTGTAGGCGTGGTTGTTTGTTTTATGAAATGTGATGTAGAAGAGCGAGCGGAGCGTTTGGTGGCTGGCAGTTCACATCTCGGTGTTTTCCCCCCTGAAAGGAGACGCCCGGTCACAGAGGCAGCGACGGCGATAGCTGTTATTACACAGGGACCTGCGCACAGGATTCAATAAAAGATGTACAAGCTGACGGCCGGCGACTCGTACAGCCACCTGCACGAAAGGAATACAACAGTAACAGACAGCTCTTTAAGTAACTTCTTAGTGTGTGCATCAACGCACTCTGTGCCGACCCAGCCTCCTAGAGAGAAACACCGAAGCTCGCACTAGCTAGCTATTTATCTAACTAACTACCTAGTCTTAGTTACCCCTGGCAGAGGTCTCGCAGGAGCTCGTATGCATCCAATCCCGGTCGATAGCCAGCCAGGGCAGCGCTCTCACAGCGAAGCAGGGTTAAGCTCGCGGGAGCCATCCATGGTTGGTGAAAAACCTGCCCGCTGGCCCCTGTGTTCCTGAGCGTTACAACGAATAACAGTCTGCCGTGCACTCCATGGGAACTCGTTCAACCTGCATCACCCAGATGTATATGGAGGTAACGTATAGTTACGTTTCATGTTTCATTTCTTCTTCGCTTCCCCCGTCCAGGCTCTCATGCTCTTGACGCTCTCATGGGCGGCCCGGAAGACTGCAACAGCGGAAGTCAGTGATCCGTGGTCCGTACGTAGTCAATGTCAAATATCCAATAGTAGAAGTATAAAACTCACGCTGGCGCTCAGTCTCGTCGAGTCCACGAAGAAACTCCTGGCCTGACATCGGTCCAGCGGGATTGTGTGCATGATCTGATATCTGCATCGCCCTCGTCTTGAATGTCTATGGGAGGTTAGCCAGTAGTCAAGTGCCTGGGAAGGGGTTTCGCGGTACCACGACGTACGTGGGAGAGCACGTCGCCCATTTCCTCCTCCTCGAAAAGCTGCAGTATCCTGCACCCCAGCCGGTAGAAATGAGGCGCTAGAGCCCGCAGGTCGACCGTCCTGGGATCGGCCTTGAGGGCGTTCATGACCTGCTCTGACAGCGCTTTGGGCAGGTCTAGCGTTATCAGGGGTGATGAGCCCTGACGCGCTCTTGTAGCAGTCAGTATAAGCCAGAATACATATACCATAACAGAGGCAGACTGACCCGACCGCAAGCATCTCGCCTAGCCAGAGAGGCAGCTCGACCTTGGAGCCGGCTTTTATCTGAGTCCGTTAGCCTGTATATCTATCTATATAGACAGGTTGGCGCAGATAAAGACCTACATCTCCGCCGGCGTTGCCATCGAGGAACCCCAGTTTGGGGACATCCAGCTCGAACGTACACGGGACTTTCTGCTCCAGTCAGTCTCAAGTCTCTTCGCTTCTCATGTCTCGTCGATCTCTTCTTCTTGATATCCTGCTCCTGATCCTGCGGTCTCTCTCTATACCCGCGGGGACTTACCTGCGAGTCCGTCAGGATAGCGTCGACGTCGTAGTAAGACATGCTATCTCGTCTCTCTGTCTCTGATCTCTCTCTATCCCTATATCTTCCCTTCCTTTCCTCTCTCCTCTCCGTCTTTAATATCGCCGTCTTCTTCTTCTTCTTCTTCTTCTCTTCTTCTTGATATTCAACTTCGCGTCGTCGCTTTTTCCCAACACGGTCACGTGCCACACTCTATATCAACTTCTTCTCCTCGACTTCATCGACTTTTCAACATCAAAATATCGACTTCTTCCACTCGGGGTTGCGGATCTTCCCTGCTGGTTTATTACATGAATATGCCCGGAATGATCTTGTTTCTCGTTTAGCGCAATGAGTGGTTAAGAAGATACCCCAGAAGCATATCGAAATATGCCGCCGGTTAGAAGTGAGACTTCAGTCATAATCAGGCACGATGGAGTTATGAATATGACAGAAACTTCCTAGACTCTTTATGAAGCGTCCTACGAGCAACGGGTATTATTATAGCCTAGTCTGAGCGGTCATTCAAAGACATGGCCTATAACAAAGTCAACGGCCTGAAAATCCACGTCAACAAACAATCCATCATTAAAGAGTCCAACAAGTTACAGAACGAACGGAGTTTTGGTCTCTGGAGACCCTGGAACGGTAGGCAAATTGGTCAAGGCTATCGACACTCATGACGCATGGGGTAACAAGACAAGGGCAGTAGGCTTGCCGCCAGATTGAGAGCCTATCCTAATGATGCCATTCAGAAAGCAATGAATATTCTTCCCTGCCCTATATAATGCATTGCACTCATACTAACCCCATAAGATACGGAATGCATATTGACCATATACTAAACGGATAGCTTAGGGACTTCCGATAGAAAGTACACCGTGAAGCATAGCCAATACTACGCTCGTGGTCGAGGGCTCATAGCACGTACTACTACTATTTTGACTAGTCCAGAGATAACACCTTTAATATATTATTCAGTACAATGCAACTGCTAGACGGGAACAAACAATCAAGCAACGTTCAGACACATCAGGCGTTTGGGGTCGCTGACCCTGTAAAGAGCACTACGCAATTTACGGCCATTGGGTCCTTATCCAGCAAGCCGGACCCTTGCATTCATTGCCTCGAGTCCTTCTTGTGGATATGGGAAATATATAAAGATACATCGATAGTTGGAGCTGTACGGAGTACGGCTGATGGGGATCTAGTCTTTTCAAACCATGAAAAAAACTTGACAAGCGCGACTTTTTAAAACATCGCAGGAGTGTTTCACCCCCTTCTGTCGGCCGTGGATCAATCGACTACGCCAAAATGGCATCCCTGGTTGGCCATCGTTGGGGAGAAGCGAGTATTCCAGATGGCGGGGAGATAATGACTAGGTATACGCCAGGATGCTTGCAGAGAGATTCTGGGGACTGTCTCTGCCGGTTTCATGGCTGTCGGCCTTTGACAAGGCACGGCATTGCCTGGGGGTAAAATGTATCGACAGACGGCCACATCGATGCCTACCAAGGGACATCTGTCTATATATCGACCTATCTGCCCTGTATATAAACACGATAGACTTGGCTACGAGCAACTAACAAGTAACTGGCGCCGCCAGCTGGCACCCGCATCCAACTGTTTACATCCATGCATATAGATCGCTGCAGGCGAGGATGAAACATCTCCACCAGTGGCGAGTCAACTTTTCTCATCAACCGCGTTGGACGCAGCCCAGATACTAACAGGACAGCCAGAAGAACATACTTAGCAGCAAGAGGCAGAGAAGCAGCAGAGGGAGACAGGCGAGGCGGATAATGACACTCGCTCCGTCTGCTCTTCTCTGACTGACAGAGAGTGACTGACCGGGACGCTGACAGACAGACAGACAGACAGACAGACAGAAGACTGAGAGATAGAGACAGAGACTCCAGCGGCACAGCTAACGACCAGCTCAACCACCGCCAGAACACCATGTACAACGCCCTCGCGCAGACAGACCGGCTCGATGCTGCGTCTTCTGCCTCCGACGATGCCTCAGACCGCTCGCCGGCCCTCGGGTCGCCTGTGTTTGCGCCACTGGCGCTCGACTTCGACAACTTTGGCGGCTCAGAGCACAGAGACGCCGCCAGCACCGCGCCAGACTCGCTCCTCCAGACTGCGACGACGGCTATCATGCGCCAGAAAGCCGCCAGCTACGAGCTGGTCGAGGCAGACGAGTACGCCGTGCCCGAGAAAACCCCTGAAAGGATGCCTGAGACAGAGAACAAGCCTGAGCAGCCGGTGATGCAGACGCCTCGCAGCCGCAGAAATTCAACGCCTCTACGCCATCCAACGCCTGACTTGCAGTCGATCCAGGGGGCCTATATCGGTAACGTGGAGAGACTCGAAAAGTCTGCTGAGCGCATGAGCATGGAGGTCGAGGCCGAGAGGGTCCTGGAGACGCTGAACCGCATGTCGATGCCCCGGTCGAGGGCCACTTCAGGGGCGTCCATCGCCAATTCGAGGGCCTCGCCCGGTTCCCCTGGCGCCTCTGCTGCTGCTGCTACGTCTATTTCAGCGTCCGGATACGGGAGTTTGTCGAGACAATCTTCGCTGAACAGGCCGCGGCTACGGTCTGGCTCGTCTGCGTCTCGACTGGCTCACATCATCGAGCCAGAGAACGAGGGTGCTGCTGAGATGGCTCCTCCGACCATACCGCCTCCCCCTGAGCACCGTCTGGAACAACAACCATTACAATATGGACAACAGCAGGAGCAGCAATATGGACAGCAGAATGAGCAGCAATATGGGCAGTACGAGCAGCAGAATGAACAGGGAGAAAGACCGGAGAGTGCTGGCTCTGGGGACACCTACCAGCAGTCTACGAACCTGTTCAAGGACTTCGACGGCGTTCACTTTACACCACATATCAGAGAAGTCCCTCGTTCCCGCGGTGTCTCTCTCTCGAAACCTCCTCTCGCAGCCGAAGCTGAACACTACAATAACCCTCCTCCTGGCCAGGATGTGGTCTACTACCCGGCCCCCGTGCCCATGATGCTCAACCTGCCCCAACGGCTCTCCCGCAAACCTCCAATGTCCGAGCAAGAAAAACGACGCACGCAGTTGATCAATTCGATCTCTCCGGAGGCACGCAAGTCCGCCGCCTGGATCACAGATGCTGAACAAGGGTCGAGTGTAGGAGACAGGATGAGCAAGCGGCTATCAAATCTCCCACCACAGCTCCGTGCAAGCGCGTTCTTCGACGCCCCCAAGACCCAGATCGATGTTCGTATACAAGGAGAATCAGCCGTTGATACGTTAGAGAGTATATTGGATGCTGCAGCACATGCTCCCGTCAGTGCCTTTACAGACCACCCTATAGTCGGCCACCTGGGCGCAGATGTGTACAAGCAGAAACGCCCAAAGAACAAGATCAACAAAAAGAGAAGGTCAGTGAAGCCGGATGGAACCATGACTACTGATCGATCCGTGTCCTCTACCACCAAGCCGGGAAGCCACATACGTACTCCTTCAGACGGACAGATGCTGGACAATGTCGACGAGAGTACCTCCTTGCGGAGTAACTTCGACGAGCACGCCACCCATGGATATTCCAGAACTCCGTCGCCCTTGAGAGAGGCTGGAGCGCATGAAGAAGATGACGAGGAGGAGGAAGAGGAAGAAGACGAGGAAGAAGAAGAAGATGATGACGAGGGGAAGAAAGACGAACCAATCTTTGGACCGCCAACGACCCTGCTTGCTGAGCTGCAGATGCGAAAGCATCAGCAAAAGATGAGAACCCGGACAGCAGCCACAGCGTTCCCCAATGGAATGCACTCAACGCTGCTTGAACTGGATAGCGTTGCACAGCGTCAGCGAGAGAAGCGAGACAAGGGCCGAGTTACACTCGCCTGGGAAGGCCACCAGGGTACAGGCCAGGACGAGCTCGATGACGACGATGTACCGCTGGGAGTCCTTTTTCCCGAGCAGAGCAGACTGCAGGACGAGAACCGACCCCTGGGCCTGATGGAGAAGCTTGTGCTTGAAGAGAGCGAGCCGCTTAGTAGACGACGGGCCAGGATCAGGGGAGAGCCACTCAACACGGCCCGAGCAGCAACGCCTCGCAATCTGGCCCCGAGGGACCCCAGCCCCAATAAGCGGGCTAGTACCGCATACACGCTTGATATTCCCGGTCTCACAGATAACAACGTGAACGGCAACGAAGAGAGCGGAGACGAAGAAGAGACGCTTGCGCAGCGAAAGAACCGTCTGAAGGCCCGTGATTCACGCAGCGATTTCGACGACCTGATATCGAAATTCGGAGACCTCGATGGTGCGGCCGACAAGGACAAGACCAAAGATGCGCCAGCGACAGCGACATCAGCGTCGGCAGCAGCGGCAGCACAAGCAGCGGCAGAGCCAGAGGAAGAAACATTAGGCCAACGCCGCAAGCGTCTCCAAGCCGAAGCCAAGCTGCAATCCGCCTCTGCATCAGCAACGTCCTCCCCCTTCCAGGCCCGGCGGACAATGGCCAACGTCCTGCAGGCCCATCCAGCTCGTCCCGGCCTCGTCACCGCCCACTCAGAGCTCGACATGCGCTACCGGACGCCGGCAGCCATGGCCTCAACCCACTCCTTGCTCAATCTGCCTCCCACCCGTGCCTCGATGCTAACCAGCACCACGACACCGTTCTCTATGGCCGGCCATCGTCTGTCTGGCGCACCAATGCTGCCTTACAGTCACGGCCCGCCACCGGGCACTGCTCTGGCCATGCTGAACGGCTCGGGCATGCTGGGCAGCAGCACTGGCGCCGGTGGCTTCGGCTATCCGACGAATGGATTCGTGTATAACCCAGCAAGCATGCATCCCGTCGGTGGGCAGCAGGAGATGATTGATCCTCGACAGCGGGATATGATTGATCGATGGAGACTGAGTGTTCGCCAGTAGCCTTCTGCTGGCTCTTGTCCTATCATGACTTTATCTTTTTTTTACTATCACTATTATCCCTTTTTTTTTTGTCTTCTTTTGACTGTTTTACTGCCTTTATGCATTTAATCATCTACTCGGTGTAATATAGCATAGCTTGGTGTTGGACTGTTGGTTTCTCCTTTTTTTTTTACTGCTGCTGCCAAATCTATCTACCAAATCTATCTGCCAAATCTACCAATATCTTCAAATATCTGCCAAATAGCAAATAGCAACATCTCCCTCTATCAAAGTCCGCCATCCAAGGGCCACAGCCAGGGTGCATCCCTGCAAGGCTGTGGCTCAACCGGCCAACGAGATCTCCGGGACAGCCAGCAAGCTCACTGGCTATTTATAACTATCTATTTTTTATTTTTTTATTTTTATTTACATGCAGACGCAGCGGCGCCAGTCATCGTCTCCCGTTAATCTGTTGGAAACAACCTCCTTTTCCTCTGCCATTCCTCTTCTTTGACCGTCCCTTAATCTCTTCTTCTTCTTCTTCTTCTTCTCCCTCCTCCTCTTCTCCTCCTGCGACTGTTACTGCTACTACTAATAATATCTTCCCTTGCCTCGTGTTGTCTTCGCCTCCCGCAACCTGGAATCCACAGCGCAAATCCAATTCCACCGCCGCAAACGAAACAGCAACACAAAGAATGGCTGCATCCAACCCATAATCCAGACGCAGATAGACAAAAGACCGTCCGCAGAAGCAGCTCGCAAGCTCCCGATGTTCACCTACGTGCGGAGCGACGACCAGCGCCCGTCCAGCGTCGCCTGCGCCCCGCCGCCGGCCTCCTCGCAGCCGCCGCCCCGGCCCAGCAGCGACTCCTTCACGGCCTCCAACTCGACCCTGACAGACGGCATCTTCGAGTCGGGCATCTGGACGGCCGAGCCAGACCTCAACTCGGCCTTCAACAGCGGGAAATGGTTCTCAGACGAGAAGATCTGCTGCTGTCCGGGAAAAACTGTCCCACCGTCGCCCGAGGAGAAAATCGTCGTGACGGAATACGAACTGAGGGACGACAACTGGCTGGCAAACGACCGCTATCACTCGAATGTCTCGTCCATGTATGGGAGCACGCAGAACTCCCCGAGCGTGGGCGTGGGCGTAGGTGCTGGCTTCCAGCATCCGCCGCACCCCCAGAATCAGCATCAGGGCCAGGTGGCGGCGCCAGAGAACACGGCCCGCTCCTCGTCGGCCTGGAGATGGACGCTGGGCAAGGGATCGAGCTCGTCTCCCTCGGACAGCTTGAAGGGGAGCATGGGGGACGGGGGGCACTCGCCTGGTGCGGTTGCGAGCCGGTCGTCTTCGAAGCCCTCGCCTGATACCAGCTCCAGCGCCTATGCGGGCGAGTCCAGGGGATTCCTACGAGAGTCAGGCAACGCTCCCTCGAAGAAACACCAGCAGCACCATCAGCAGCATCAGCATCAGCAGCAACAGCAACAGCAACAGCAACACCATGGCCAGGAGGTGGTGGAGGTGCCGTCCTCAAAGGGGACAAAGACGAGGCTGAACCTGTTGAATCCCATGGCCTTGCTTGCCAGGAGACGGTCTGCCCATCCGGCCAGCGCGAGACCAGAGGATATCAGTATCAGCAAGCTCATTGTCCCAGCTCTGCCGGACGACTACGACCCGAGGATCAGAGGCAGTCTGGTCCATGATTTCTCGGTGCCGCGGGCTCGATCAAATGTGGTGGATGGCAGCAATGCCCGCTCACGACAGCTCAGAGAGCTCCCTGACAATCCTCCCAGACCCCAGAAGCCACTGCATCAGGCTCAGCAGATGCAGATCACAGCTCCAACACCATACAGACAGATCAATAGAGCGTCCGTCGAACTGCCTCCGAAACCACAGGCTGAGACCCAGCAACTTCCCATACAAACGACCCCTAAAGCCGACGTTGATATGCAGCAGCAGCAACCAACATCACCACCACCACCACCACAGCAACAACAGCAACAACAGCAACAACAACAGAATGCTCAAGACACATCATCAACTTATACGAGATCTCCTCCGTCGACCTTACGGTACAAGCCCGGGTCAGTCCGGGATCCATCATTTGTTCCTCTTGGACTTCCACGACATTTGACCAGCAGTGCATCGCGGTTTAGCTTCGACCTGGCGGGCGCTGCCTCATCATCCCAGGAGAAGCTAATGGAAGAAAGACACAAGGAGAAAGAGGCTGCGAAGAGAGCCATGGGTATCAATTTAAGGAGTGAATTTGATGACGACTCCGATGAGTTTGACTACGACGCCATGATGGACGACGACGGGCTGGAAGAGAAGATACCTGGCATCAATGCCGATGCTGACTCCATAGACGAGTCTCATACCGCTGCAAATCCAGCCCTGCAGAATTATATGAAGTCATATGCCCCTACACTCTCTACGGTCATGTCTAGTCCTACAAGCCCTCCAGGGAACGGTTCTTTCGTCCCCATGGCTAACAATGGGGTCTCGATGCCTCCAGGATTTATCATGTCCTCAAATCAGCCTGGTCTGTTCATGTATACAGGGTTCCAGCAGCCCGTTCCACCGGCCATGGTGAGCCCTGAACTGCCTACCACGAACCAGGAAGCCTCCAGGGGTAATAATGGCGAGGATGACTTGTACTATGATGACGGTCTCTTTGGCGAACTGCCCCCTGAGATGCAAGGATCTACCATCGACGAGTCTATCTTTGACGATGAGACGAGCTATCTGTATGATAACAAAAGGCGAGCTGCTCAGCCTCCTCAGGCCTTGTCTGAGGAGTCGACCGCTGCCAGCCACGACAACCCAATGCCAATGCCGCAGAACAGCGTCGTGGAGGCCAGGCCTGCTCACAACATGGATAAGTCCCCATCTCAATTCCAGGGACTAACAGAGGGAAACCTGGAAGCATACCATAGCGCCTTGGCCCAGGCAGCCAATGAAGCTGCTCGCAAGGGAAGGTTTGAGCGGAACGCAAGTCTAAGTGAAACGTCCCTGCCAGAGGGAGAGTCTCAAACTGATCCATGCTTGACCACAGATGAGAGCAGAATGAGCCAGACAGTTGATACTGATGCGCTAGGCATGGATGACCCGCTAGACGACTTTGACTATTACGATGGAGACGGTCTGGACGATGATCCGATTATCGCCGAAGCCAATGCAGACGTCCTGGAGCATGACGATGAAGGGTTTTATGGCCGGGAATTCGGGTTCTATGCCCATGCTCATGGCAGTAACGACAAGGAGCGTGTGTACGGCGGCTACTTTGGCGCCCCGGGTTCGGAAGGGATCATTCGAAACCACAGTGGACGGAAGAACTTTCGAGAACCCAGCCTGACACCGATTACCGAGCGGAGTGAATGGAGTACACGCAACTCAATTGTCTCTCTGGCCGCTCATGCCGGTCATTCGAGCCATCAGCAGCAGCCTCCGCTAGCCCAGCTCGTTGATATGGAAGTCCCCGATGACGAGATATCGCTAAGTGCTCTAATGAAGCTACGGCGGGGGGCCTGGGGTGGCAGCAACGGCAGTCTACGCAGCAACACAGGGGGTAGCCAGGGCGCCGCTTCGCCTTCAGCGGCCCAACCTCACCGCGGGAGCTTGACACACTACTACGACACAGGCTCGCCGGTACAAAGTAGTGGATTGATAAATGGCGGTGGTAACTCGGAAGTGAACAGTCCCACCCATACTGATAGGGAATTTACCCCGGACCCCAGAGCTATCAGAAGACACTCGGATACCGTTCGACCCCCGTCTAGCTGGGACCCGGCAAGCAGGCATTCGCTACGCATGGAGGATGAGAAATCCGGCCCGATGTCCCCCACTACAGGCGAGCGTATCAGCTACGTCCGAAGCAAAGATGAGTCCGGATCTGAGTACTGGGTCCTCGAGAGACGGCGGACAGGAGATGGAGGCGAGTCAGAGGTGTTGGAGCGAGAGACGATGAAACTTCGGATATGAAATGGTATCCAGTCAACTAACAAAATAGAAGCAAGTTGAAGCATCTACGAGACTATTAGCGACGGCGTTTGGGGGATAGTTGATGGGTTGGTTGGTCGGTCTTTGATTTTTTGTTATATACATGCAGGCACTTGCCTTGCTATGTATTCTATGTGAATATTCCGGTTGTTCTTTGGTCTTCAAATGTTTGAAGCGCTTAAATGTATAATGCTTGATTCAAATAAATAGCCACACTATTCTCGATACCCTAGATATATAATTCATTCAGCTTTACCCGTTCATGTCCATACCCATATCATCAATATATATACATACCTAAACCCACATTCACCCGTCACAACATCTCTAGAAATCCTCCATCCTAAAAACCTCGTATGAAGGCTCTTCATATGGATGTGCCCTAGACCATCAGACAATGCATTAATAGATTCATTCCTTCATTTACCTTCATCCCCGGGATTCTGATTCACTCACTGCTTCAGCGCAGCAACGGCCTTTTTAACGACCTCTTCACCAACACAGAGCGTCTCGACTTTCGCTTCCTCGACCTGCTCGAGCGTCCCTACGCTGCCGATATGCGGGTTCGCCGAGTTTCCGGGTCGGAACTGGCCTGTTCCAACGGTGGTGAAGCAGCATTCGGTGTAGTTCCCGGGTCCAGGATACTTGCCGGCGCCAGCTGCAAAGATAGCCGTTTTGCAGGCCTCGAGAGCGGTCGTCGGAACGTGGAAGATCAGCTTGAAGCGAGTTGGAGATGCCATCTTGCGCAGATATATCTTTTGCCCTTCTGTTGATCGGTATTTTTTCCTTGGATGTTGGTTGATGTTGATGTTGATATTGATTGATTGACACGGTGGGGCGAAGCTACGACGTCGTGCTATGACTTAGTTGTAACCAACTACAACATATCAGAAGACAAGGCATCATCATGGTCACTTCGGCCAGCCAGCATCACGATGCATGAAAGGGCTACACAGCCGAGAAGACGGATGCCTGATTGAAGAGACCGAGTTTCTTTGAGCATGCCACCTCAAACATCTAACTGACTATAACTACCGCCATGACCGTCCTGTATCAAAAGACGCAAGGGACCGGCAGCAGCTTCACTACTCCTGCATTTATACCCACCCACCTCCAAGCAAGGAGCTTCATACCGCCATATCCGAGCGTCAGATCGGCTGCAAGCCAGCCAGACGGGTCAGGAAATACGAAGAGCTCTTGTTTCTTGATACAGCGGTTGCACGACAGCCGCTGATCAATCCAGAGCTCGAATCCGGCGTCGCGTCGGCGTTGATCGGTTGACATGACCCTTTGGCCACTAGCAAGTTACACCAGCATGGCATCTAAAAGATGGGGTTTTCCCGGAGTGAGCAGCTTGTTCTGTTAGATACTCAATATTATTCTTACTTACCCTCTTGCTCGATTGGCATACTGCTGTCTTATAGTCAGTTACAAAGAATCAATAGCTACCTGTCTGGACAAGATGAAATATTTGGCCAACATCTTGATATCTGGGCTTCTGGCTCTTCCTTGTGCCGTGGCTGCTCCCATACCGATCTATGGTGTATGTTGAACTGTTGATTCTCTTTGGTTGATGCCTGTATGTATGTGCTGATGGTTGACTCTTTGCAGGCACATATCTATCAAGAAAGACCGTGTGGAGGGGCGCCGGCCCTCGTCCAGGCGGATGGCGGGTGCTATGACTTGCGCTCGCTGAAGTACGTTTATCCTTTACAGAGATCGTTAACTACAATTACCGGCATAATCGTGATCTGATAGTGTGAATAGTGTCAAATCTATACAGATTGATAGAGCTGCATCCTGCACAGCATACACGTACGTATCCGTATCAAAGAGCGAGAGAAATACATTCAACTAATTCCATCTAGGAGCCCATCGTGTGATTCAGAACCTAAGGCCCTATCAGGGGAGAAATGCATGGACTACCCTTCCGCCGCGGCTGTTCGATGCGTTCTAAAATAAAAGAATCAAGACATACGCCCTAGGTATCAATGCGGTTACCTGATATCTAGTTCTATATAAGCAGAAACATTCCAAGAGAACATCTCTAATGATAATGAAGATGTATTGACACGAGCCAAATTAAAGGATAGGTAGGTAGACTGGGATACACTGTCTGATTGAGAACTGATTGAAGTTTTATAAAATACTAGTTTAGTTGGACTTATTTACTTCCTCCCTTCCAACAGGCAACAGTAGCACATACATCTCCCTCACATCCACATAAACTAGATGAGATGGTGGTTATCGAATAGAAAAGTCTCCAGGGGTCAGATTTCCTCCTTTGCATCCGCGATATATCTTAAAACGGATTTAATATGATGTAACATGAGAGAAAAAGGGAGAGGAATACAGTGTAAAAGTAAAAAAAAGGAGAAACTGAAAAGCCAGACAGACATGATGAACAGGACAAAACAAAGCAGAATAATCAAGCGAACGGGGGTATTGGGTTTTTTTTATAGACAGCAAAACAAATAACAGGAACAAGCGTGCACGCAGGCAGGTAAGTAGTAGTAGTAGAAGGTGATGAGGTGAGAGAGAGCGGGAACGGGATAAACATATAAGGGACTAATATCAATTTTCCACCGGCTGACAGAAAAGTTGGATTTCACCAACTTGGCCGGAGGCAAGCGAATGCTGATGCTGTTCACGCCATTCCATAAATGCAAGTTGGACGGCCTCGTCGCTATCAATTGTTACAAAATCGCCGTCTTCGTCTCGATATCGTAGTCGGGCGGAGTTGCCACCGATCGACCGGTCCGTGAACCGGGCTAGTTTTGCGTCTACTCTGTCCGTGAGCGAGCGGAAGAGAATGTTGCTCGCGATCACGAGGGTTACATAGTTATCATCGAAGTTGATCTTAGCTTTAAGCTGGCTGGGCATCTGAGAGTCGGGGTCATCGAATGGAGAGGTGTGAGGCATAGAGGTTGGAGGTTGTAGTGGCCGGCCATTGGGGGCGTGAGGTTCGTAATTATAGCCCACTGGTGGTGGGTGGGCGTGACCATGGCGGGAGGGTGGTGGTTGTAAATTGGGTGACTGTGTACCGGAGCGTATCGGGATTGTGTTTCCAGTAGGAGAGCTGTTTTGGCTCCTGTTTACGGGAGCTCGCATGTTTGCCATGTGGGGGGGTATCGGAGGTACGGGAACATTATCTACGGTCTGCATAGTATGTCCACCGTTCATGTATCGGCGAGAATCTGGAGCGGCGCCATTGTGAATGTCAGGGCTGCTTGCTGATCTCATCCGTGCCTGTGCCTGGGACTGGGATCCGGATTGTCCGTTTTGATTCGATGAGAACGGAGGTAACGAGGGCCGTTGGGCGTTACGAGACCCGTTGTTGTAGTATGGGTTATTTCCAGATCCGTCTCGAGAGCCTGACCTGGGCATGGCTGGAGCAGTGTACCGGTTCTGTTCTGCTTCAGTCCATGCATTTGAAGGAGTCCCACCACGTGAGTATGAGAAGGCTGTTGATTGGGAGCTGGATCTTGTTGATGGGGGTGCCTCGCCCGTAGGAGAGAAATAAGATGCACCATTGCGTTCACCTGGGGATATGGCTCCAGGAGTAAACTGTGTATGTACCGTTAGAGGAGCATTAGGCGTTGGGAACTGCGGTCGACCGCCCGAGTGGTGGCCTGAGCCTCCACTGCCATTAGTAGCAGAGCGTCCCCGTAAGCTCGTATTAGATGCATTTCGTGATGTAGAGAACTCTGATAGAGAGGTGTTGGTTGGCTCTCTTGACAACTCTTCTTCGGTACTGTACTCCTCCTGGTAAGGATTTGGGGGTTTGGGCGTATTCCTGAGATATGTGAATTCTGTTTCTGAGGTTCCGTGGCTTTTGGATGAAGGGCGTTCGTGTGTTTGAAGGGCCCGCTGCTTGTCGATATCCTTATACCATTTGTTCATTGTATCCTCGTCTCGGTAACGGATACCAAAGTTATCGACAACACCTGGGTCACCTTTCCAGAATATCTGTATCTTATAGGATCCTAATCAAGTTTGTTAGAACCATGTTAGACTTCCATGCCACAAAGGATAGTAACCAACCTGGTTTTGAAAGTGATAATATTTCGGTAACATTTGTCATATAAATTCTGCCCTTGAGCTGTAGCTTTGGTTTCACTTTGGGGTTCGGGATGATTTTCTCTTTCCCCATGAGCTTGCTCTTCTGCTTGGCTGGGTAGATATCTTTGCAGCAGAGAAGGATCTGCTCAAACAGATATATGTGATACTAAAGAGGAGAAAAAGGAGTTAGTAATATATTCAAATCAATGCTCCAAGGTTCAGTCATAGCCAGGGTGTTGGTGGTTCGGGGCAGTCCAAGGTAAGAGATTGGATGAAAGCAAACAATACTTATGGAAAGTAGATATCCAGATAGGGTATCATAATTTTATATTTTGAATAGTGACAAGATTCAAGTGTTGGGAAACTTGAATCAATGCTGATATGCTTTTGGAAATGGAAAATTGCTGGTCTGGCCGTTTTAATTCATTTTGAGCCATGGCTCAAGATTTCTTTGCTTTTCTTTTCTTTTCTTCTCTTCTTATTCCCGGGTGTACTATATACCTCAGCATATACGTTTGGTATATAGTTGCGATAGAGGGTACCCTTTAACGACCGTCCTCAGATCCAACTCCGCTATTTTTTCGAACATGGGCCTTGTTGAGGCGCTGCTGGGGTATGGAAGGGGTGATTGGGGATGATCTATGTTTACTTTTCGGAAAGGAAAAGATAGAAGAAATGGATCGTCTGGACTTGGAAGGAGAAGTATCAAACGAGTCTTGCCTAGGTCTAGGCGGAGGGGTATTGAATTCAAGTGTTTTGGTGCTGGCAGAGTGAGTAGGCGTAAGGAGTTCCAGGGGATGGGCAACTTGTGTTGGTGTAGGGAAGACAGAAATGTATTTGGGATCCTTGGACTGTTTCCAGCTCCAGCCGCGGTGGCTGTTTGCTGAAAGAAGGTGGATGACTGAACCAGTGAAGGAGCTCCGGCGGCTTCCAAGTAAATAGGATTGTGCAGTTGTGTTGGAGAGAATTTTACGAACCTCTCTTTCTGCGTCTTTGCCACTATCGCCTTTCAAGATGGTAAACGTCCCGTATCGCAATAAGTCGCCGAATTGGTCAAGCTTAAGAGCCTTCCAATCCTCTACTCGTTGTGAAAGGTCTTCAACTGCGGAGACGAGGTGCTCTTTATCGATCGCGCGGTTAGCGTTATCTAGAATTATTTGGATCATGTTAATGGCCTCGCCAATGTCAGAAACAAGGCCTGGGTTTTCTGTTTGTTTTCGAAGTTCCTATGGATAGAAATTTAGCGACTAAATTTTATAGAGAGGGTAAGAATCAATGCCGTACCATGAGCATGAGAGGGTACTTAGTAAGGCGCTGGAATGGCTTTACGAAGAAGCCATTGAGTGTTGATAACTGGGCAACCATCTGTTGAAGATCCGGGGATCGGGGTGCAGAATGAATCTTATCCCATTCCCTCTGGCAGATCTGATCACAGCGGGGTTGATTGGCGATAAAAGGCTCATACTGAAGGAAGCCATTGTGATGACTCAGGTAGAGCTCGCCCCAGTTTTGAGTCTCTTCTGGGAGTGCATTATGCTGTTCCATCCGGATGAGGAACCGTTGAGTAAAGTCGAGGAGGTTGTTGAGGTTGAGGAAGATCTGATGACTGACATCGCCGGTCAGAGCGCCGGTTTCTTCGAGCTCTTTCTTGAGCGCTTGGAGGTTTTGAAGATGGTGGACGTAGTCTCGTTCGGTTTCGAGCATTTCCTTTAGGATGTGTTCTCTCCGGGTGAGTTTCGTCTTTCCTCCTTCGGAAGGCAAAGATGTCGATGGCGAGACTTTATTGTACAGTTGGCCTTGAAGCTCGAGTATGTCTATTACTCTGTTGACCATTTTTATGACCTGATAAATCGTTAGATCGGACTCACACGGTTCTAGAAGTTAGGAAGAGAGGGGGTAGATGTACCTTTACGAAACCAGTGGTGCTGTCACCGTAAAGAT